TAGGAGTAGTATTTTGGTAAGGTGTGGGTGTGGGTGTGTGTACATTATGGATATTATTTGACTTGACTTAAACACTTGGCAGATGATAGTTTCTTGCCAGGTATTTGCAATGGAATCTGAAATCGTATCACTAGCTTTCTAAATCCTTAGGGTATATTGGTCTCTCTTACGCTGGAAAAGGGTGTTTTCTGGTAGAATTAGTTTGACTTTGGTACATAGACAATGCTGTTTGACTGGTCCTTTAAACATTTAGACCATTCCTCATTAGTGCCTTTAGTTTCATGACACCTGCCTTCCTCTGTTCTGCTTTGACAGGAAAACTAAGGTATTTAGAAAAGACCAATTGTTTCCATTGTGTTATGCTGCAGTTTCTTGTTTATAATTTCATTTTTCACTTTTTTACTGAAGTAAGGACCAGATTCCACTTTTGCTATATTTAAAAATTTTTTAAAGCCCATGTTTATTCTGAAGGCTCTTGTTCCTGCAAAGGAGTTTGCCTGCCCTAGCTGTGGAGTTTTTAAGAAAGAAATTCAGGTCAGCAGCATTGAACAAAGGTATTGAGGGAGCCAGTGTGAGTTAAGAGTGCTTGGTGTAGTTTTGGAAAGCAGCAAACAGGGCTTCTGCGCCCGTGAACCCCCTCCACCACCTCCCCTTGTTCCTGCTGCAGAGCGTGAGGAGAACACACCCACTTCTCCAACTAAAACGTTCGTTCCTTATAAAAGTATAAGGCATACACATGGGGCATGGCCCCTTCAAGTGGATTTTATGTAACAGGCTGTTGCTTGAAGTCTTCTGAGATTACTTATGCTTTTTGTTTTAAATGTGATCACTTTTCAAGCAGCTTGACAAATCATTAATTCCAGAGTAACGACCTTGTGGCAATTGTGATAGCAATTTACTTTTTTTTGTATTTTTAGGGAAGGGTCTACAGGGTGTTCAGGGTCTCACTACTAGATCGGACTCATAGTGATCTGCCTGTTTACAACCTCCCAAGAGGCCGGGCCAGCACGGCAGGCCTTGGAATGGAATCCCTGGCCCCTGTGCCTGCTTGCAGGGGCTTAATCCGCTGAACTGTTTGCAACTTATTTCTTGAATACTGTTATGTACCTTACAGTGAGGCAGCATTATGAAGAAATAAAGTAGAGAAATACAGTGTTTCCTTTATTATTCATTTACTTATTTGTCTCACAGGTGTTCAAACCCAGGCTCTCATGCTGCCTTAGTACTCGGCTAACTCCCCAGCCCATTTTCACTTTTTTTTTTTTTTTTTTTTTT